TCAAGCAGGTGTCTGCGAAACACCGGCCTCCCCTTCCCAGTGAGTCTGCAGCGCCTGCAGTCCTACCCTCCAGCGGGAAGCAGGGTTCCTGCTCTACCATGCCCTTGGGAGCTCAGCAGCCCCACCTCGCCCAGCCACAGCTGCCTGAACAGGTGCGGTGATGTGGGCTTGGGACCCCCCCCAGCTGTGGCAGCCAACCCGCCCCGGGTTCCCCCCACAGACGGGCGTGCGACCCAGGAGCCATCTGCAGCGAGAGGACGCGGCACTCAGCATCACCGCGGCAGGCAGGGCAGGCAGAGCGGAAGGTCCTTGATGGGACAGAGAGACTGCAGGGAGCAGCGAGGTGGCACGTGGAGGAAGGGGCCGCTGCAGGACAAACCGGAGTGTGTAAACCCAGAGAGACCGAGGCTGGTGAGCAAGTCCGAAAACAGAGCAATCCCGAAATACCTGAAGGAATTCCTCACACTTTTCTCATACACTAGCAAAATCATAAACAGGAGCTATTAGTCTTCTAACAATTTCGTAAAGAATATCACTGGTAAAAATAACCATCGCAAAATAAAACTTATACTGGCTGAAACTACACAGGGAAAAACCCATCAGAAACTAAAAATCGAGGGTAGAGTCTCTCTGTACAATTTAGAACCGAGCGTTCCAATCAGGCGATCCAACCCAGCGCAAATGACACAGAAGGAAGCTCAGCACAGCGGGAGCGATAATCAGTAAAATGTGATACCTATTTAAAAAATAATAAATTCTAGGGGCCCTGGGTGGCTCAGTCGGTGAAGCGCCTGCCTTCGGCTCAGGTCATGATCTCAGGGTCCTGGGATTGAGCCCCATGTCCTGCTCCCTGCTGAGCAGGGAGCCTGCTTCTCCCTCTCCCCCCTCCCCTTCTCCTTCTCTCTCTCTCTCAGATAAATAAATAAAATCTTTTTTTAAAAAAATAATAAATTCTAAAAATCTCTCTAGGGTCCAGTAATATTTACATGGAAAAAATGATTCCAGTGAAAATAATTTCTGAAAAATGAGAAAAGTCAATGATCCATTTGCCCTCACCTTAAAATCAGGCAAGTCCCAGCCCCCCGGTTTCTGGAACGCTCACGACTCCACTGGAGCGAAGAGCCTTCTGGAAGCTACAGATGTCGGAGACTGGACATCAGGAACAGCACACCTGAGCCGTGGCCTTGATCCACTAACCCCAGCGCTGAGCTGGAAAGCCTCCGGGCGGGAGGAAAGCCGGGGAGGTGGGGACAGAGGGTGGGAGGACTCCGAAGCCCCGCACAGCTCCCTGCCCCACACCGCACAGAGGCCGCGGGAGCTGAGGTCATCCTTCCTGGGAGCTTTCCTGCAGGGGGGCCGGGAGCAGGAATTCTGAGGTCGCCCACAGCTCTCCACGGCTGGCTGGACCCGGAGCACTGTGTCAGCACGTGGGGCGTCTGCAGGAAGCGGCCAGAGGCTACACACCCGGGCCTCCAGTTACAAAAACGTGCTGACATCGAAAATCAGCACATGCTCTTTGCTGGGAATACCAAAAACGCAGAAAGGCGTAAAACAGAAAATTTAAATTCCTATAATCCTACAACCCAGAACTATCTACTACTAATGTTTTGGTTTATTTCTTTCCCATACTTTCTCTGTGTAAATATTTTAATCAGTCGTGTCTGTTCCTGTATCCTGTCTGATTCTCTCCCATGTGTCACGTCATGGCCAATCCTCTTTTCAAGATCGCTCCAAGAAGGATACTTCCGACATTTCTGCATAAATGCTTCCACTACTCAGTGATCCAAGTACATACACGTGGGTTGATGTGTTCTCTATATTCTGCACTTAGCAAAGACCCCAAACCAGAGCTGCTCATTTCATCAGCGGCGGTGCCAGACCCCTGATGAACCCCACACTCGTGGACTCAAGGACTGGCATGCCCAGAGGGAGTCATGCTGGTTAACCCGGCTGCTGCTGGCAGGGGCTGTAAAGGGCCAGGTCCAGGCTCCTCTCTTCCACCCTAACCCCACAGAGGACTCCATACTAGAACACGCCGCCCAGGGTGGGATTTTAAGTTACCCGTGGATATTGGGCATCCATTAAAATGATTTCACAGCATGAAAAATGGTGACACTGAAATCTGACATTAAATTTAAGAAGTAGGATGCAAATTTATGTGAACAATACAATTATAACAAAGCAAAAAAGGGCACAAAAAAAGGAAATATACTAAAGTAAGTGCCAACCTCTGGATGATTTTATTACGGATGATTTTCTCACCACTTCAGGTATATTCAACTTTCTATCACAAGCATATGTTGGAAAAATTTGAAACAAGGCAGTTACTTAATGAAGGTAGGACTTTACTGCCACTTGCATGCTGAGCTCAAATGTCATTACTTTGAAAAAACATCAATGAAATAGGATCGTGAAATGAATTTGTGACCGTCTAGAGTAGGACAACTACCCACTTCCTGACTGTGAAATATAAAATCGCCCACACAAAAAAGTAGGGGAACATCCCTTTTATCACTGGGTAAATTTCATAATTAGTTCAGTAATAAAATAAGACTATCTACAGCACTTTCCACTTTCATAAGAAGTATAATAATAAAATAAAAACTACAAGCACTTTAGTTCTGAGATACTGTTAACTTATCACAACCCGAGAACTTTGTGAAGCGGTTCCTTCACTGCCTACCCTTTGCAGATGGGAAGACAGACACGGGGAGTAAGCAGACCACAGAGCCCACCCCACCGGCTCCCTGGGTCAGCTCTCCTCTCAGCCAGCTGGGCTGGCCTCTGCTGAGATAGCCACCACGTTGTTGTTTCTCACGGGGACCCCAGGAGAGGAGCTCCTGCCTCACTCACTCCTGCATCTGCTGAGCACACAGATGGAGTGCTCCCCAAAACACGGGAAGATTGCTCATTTCGAGTGGGAAGTATATGGACCAGCGTAAGAATGTATGCACAGATAGTCATTTTAAAGTTCCAAATTCCACTTATGGCAACTTATTCTAAGGAAATATTCAGAGATATGCACAGAAAATACAAGTACAAAAGTATCTTACATTTCAAGAAGAAAAAGAACCCAAAACTTTTTTTTAAAAGATAGAAAAAGATAACCAAGAAAGAAGGAGTAGGAGGACCAAAAGACAGAAAAGAAATACAAATGACTTTTAAATGCCCAGATGATGACTCTGCTTCATTCATAATAAGAGAAGTGAAGTCAAACCTACTAAGGCGGCATTTTACTACTATCCGATTTGCAGCTTTCCTCCCAGGGAGGGCAGCAGGTGTCCCATTCCTTGTGTTGCCTGTGACATTGTTTCAATCCTTACAGAGGGCAACATCTACCAAAATGTCAAATGCACCAGCACTCTGTTACACTGTTAGGAATTTATCTTCAAGCTGTACTCACAGACATTTAAAAGTGACACATACGAGACTGTTCTCTGCAGCAAACCCCTCTCCAGGAATAGGAGATCAGCTGAAGCATGGAGCAGCAAGTCACCACACGAGAGGATGAGGGAGACATGTCTGTGCTCCTATAGAATGATCCAGGGCATATTGTTAAGTGAAAGAGGGAGATGCAGAACCATACGTGCATGGTGCAACTGTTTGTACAAAAGGAGGGAAGAATCAGGTATACATTTGCTGGTGTGCTTGCTGACTCCTAAAATACCGCTGTAAAGAGAAATCAACCGACAGTGTTGGTGGGAAGGATCCCAGGGAGCCCGGGACCTAGAAGGAGAGCATTCATTCGCTGTGAGTTGTTTCTATATGCTTTGAACTTTGAACTAGGAGAATAGTTCATTTATTTTTTTAACTGATTTTTTTATGAGTAAAGGAGAAAACAAGAAATAAAAATCATTAAGGCTAATGGAGGGATGTGACAGAAATGCTCTTGGTCTCGAATGTGACAAGGGTTTCCCAGATGTGCACAGCTGTCAGACTCATCACTTGTACATCAAAAGGAGAATGTCCATAAACTGTACCTCAAAAAAGTGAAAAAACAGCGCATGGACTAAATATATGAATATATATACTCAATGGCCTTTATTTGCATTGTCATAATAACTTTCTGGAAACTGGAAACCGCCTAGCTCTCCAGTGCTGGAGGACTGGTTGGGGGACCAGCTGGATGGGTGTCAGTGTAAGTCCCAGAGCACAGAGCATGAACACTGAAAAAGCACTTCTACCCCCTTTACTGCGCAGCTAATTTGCACGTACAATCTACTTCCTGTAAGACTCGGCGCAACCCCAGGGGATTTGGAGAAATACGCAATTGTACTAAGAAGGAAACAGATTCAGCAATTAGGATCTGCTAGCCACAGGTGCCTCCACCCCGTGTACCCTACGCACCCCACCCAAGGCTGTCCACTTGGTCTTTGCACGCCTCCATCACTGCTCGCACACCTCCTTATCTGCTCACACACCTCCATCGCTGCTTGCACGCCTCATCTGCTCACATGCCTCCTTATCTGTTTACACACCGCCATCACCACTTACACACCTCCTTATCTGTTTACGCACCTCCACAACTGCTCACATACCTCCATCGCTGCTTGCACACCTCCATCACCGTTTGCACACCTCCATCGCTGCTTGCACACCCCCATCACCGTTAGCACACCTCCATAACTTTTGGCACACCTCCATCACTGCTTACACTTCTCCATAATTTTGACACACCTTCAGAGTTTCTTGCACACCCTCACAATTGCACTTATATGTGTAATGCTCCCAAATGACCCCCACGTTGCAGAGGAGGCTGGTGAGGGGCCGGGCTGGGACTGAGTTTGCACGCACGTGACCACACTGTTATGTGCCGCTCCCAGGACGCGCTCTGTTTCTTGGAGCGCAAGGAGCACTCTCTGCACCCTGGCTCACTACACAGGTGTCAAAGTCCTCTGGAGTTCCCACACCCTGCCACTCCCCTGAGGCTCCTGCAGCAGCTGGAGCAGCGGCTGCGCCCTCTTGGGCAGACCTCGACGGGGCCGAGGGGCGGCAGGTACCTTTCTCTCCTGTGGGGCCGACTCTCCCAGGCCGTCCCGGCGCACCTTTGTCTCCCTTCTCTCCAGCGTCCCCTGCGGAAGAAGGCACTGCATTTAGGAGCTCCTCGTGAGCACGGATTCCAGTGTCAGCTGCCCACCCTGTGTGTGCTGTCGGTCAGGCCCCTTGGCCTCTCTCTCCCCCGCCCCAGCCCCCAGGAGACTTCATCTCTCATCCAGACCATCTCCCACCCCCATCAGCTTTCCCCCATCTTCCCACCCTCCATCACCGAGGGCTCTCAGGTTTCCCTGTCCCAGATCTGTGTCGGGACTCTGCTTCCGGGCCCTCCTTTCCCCTCTAGGGATGTTGTGTCCCTCTCTCCAATTATCCCTCTGGGCTATCTTGCCCTCTGGCATACAGCACTCCCCGAGACCCCCTGTGCCTGCCCTGCTGACCCCCTGCCCTCACGGCAGCATGAGGAGAGCAGGGGTCTGGAGGATCTCCCATGGCCCCGGTGTCCCTCTGTACCTGTCTGATGTGCCTGGGAAGAATAAACAGGTGCTCACATCAGCATCCCCTGGTCCCTTCAGCATGAGCCCCCCCACACCCACCTGCAGCACACACTCGGGGCTGGGGAGCCTGTGACCAGGTGGGCACATCCACCTGATTCAGCTTTGCTGGCCAAGTGTGTCCTGCTCTCAGCCCAGGCTACATGCCCCCCAGCTTTTGTCATGAGTCCTGGTCATGTTTTGGCAGACACCTGTGAGTCTTTGATCTGTCACTTAGCTCATTCAGAACTGAAACAGGGAGATGGGCTGTTCATCTCCTGATATCCCACACTTAGCTTAGCTCACTGCAAATCGACCCGACGGTTTTTCCTCAGAGATGAGTCCCTCCTGTGACATTCCTGGTTCTGACTGACACACTGATTCTCCCGGACTGCAAGCCCCGGGCCCAGCGTCATCTCTGCTTTCCTGTCTCCCTCATCAGCGAAATGCAAGCCTCTGCCCAGCTCTGTGGGGTCTGACCGGCCCACTCCCTGTCCTGTCCATGTTCTGGCCCAGTCAGCCGGCCCCGGGGCTTCGTGCAGCTTTGGGGACTGCGCTCACAGTGCTCATGCAGGACAGTCATGCACAAAACATGGAGGAGCCCACAAGCAGCAGAGGGTGGAGTCCCAATGGGAGACATCAAGGTCCCTCCCTAGGCCTCCTCCTCCCCCCACTCTAATCCACACCAAAACCGTCTTCCTAAAACACAGATCCAATTATGTTATGTCCCTTCTTAAAACCACCAAGGCTGAATGTGGTGACAAACAATGTCCCATTTTTAAAACCATCCTCAGTAGGCCTTCATCTGGAGCCCAGGTATTGGCAGCCACCTTCTCACCTGAACCCTCCAGGTTGCTTCTCCTGGTTCCCTCACCGGCTACCTCTTCTCTCCGGTGACCAGGCTCCTTGTTCCATATTATATGGCTCGTCTGCCTGACTGCTGTACCGTTGCCCCAGGAGAGCACATGGGTGCCGACAGGGGGTCGGTGTCCCTCCCCAGGTACACACGACACCAGCCAACATCTAAGTTACTCCAGTTCTCTGCGATTCGCCTTGGGCACTCACACTTGGTGAGAGGCTAACTGAGGTTACAGAGGCCCCAACGAGATGCCCAAAACTGATCATCTGGCCTGAAGGAGGGGACATCCCATTTAAACTTAAGTAAACAAAGAGAAAAGCGAAGTGAGCGCCACCAACAAATGGAAGACAGAGCTGGCCTGTCACTGTGCCCTGCGTGCCCCAGCCTTGAAGGCTCCACCCAGGCCCCTGCTGAGGGTGGGTTCACACACGCCTAGCACACATACGTGGCCCTTAAATCTCTGGGTACTTTACCGTTCTTAAAAAAGGAAATTATTACAATTGCAATACTTGGAGACACATTGATAGACCAGCAGGAAATGCCAACGAACAGACTGAGCTCGCCACCAAAACCTGTGGACATTTGAGGAACACCAACATCCGGAAGAGAACCAACAGAGGAAAGGGACTCTTGGAGCAGTCAGCGTCTGACCCCAAAATAAGATGCTAAATATCTTCATAAAGGCAAGAGAGAATAGGCATCTATGAACAAAAGTAAAAAGCACTGAAAAGAACCAACTAGAAATCCTGCACAGGAAATAAATTTTTGCAACGAGTCTCTCTACAGGAAGGCTGAGAAGCAGGGTGGCCAATGGTACAAGCCAGTTCACCAAACAGAAGGTCAGGATGGAGAACGTTTTCACAGTGCGACACAAAGAGATAAAGGACTGGAAAGTTTTGTTTGGATTTCAAGTTATCAAGTGGAGAGTGAAGGAAAGCCCCACCAATTCCAGTATCCAACTGAAAGGAATTCCAGAAAAGGGAGAACAAACACTGGAAGCCGAGACGGTCGTGCAGGTTTAGGAGCTGTGACCTCCCGGCACTACGGGAGGGTGTGGGAGAACATAGTGCACGTGCCCCGGGGAGCCAGGCGGGAGGACACAGCGCAGGCGCCCCGGGGAGCCAGGCGGGAGAGACGAGGTAAAATAACTTAGACGTGTCACAGTGACATTGCAGAACCTCAAGAACAAAGAGAAGAGGGCGCCTGTGTGGCTCAGTTGGTTGAGCGACTGCTTTCGGCTCGGGTCATGATCCTGGGGTCCCTGGATCGAGTCCCACGTATCGCGCTCGCTGCTCAGCAGGGAGCCTGCTTCTCCCTCTGACCCTCCCCCCTCTCATGTGCTCTCTCTCTCTCATTCTCTCTGTCTCAAATAAATAAATAAAATCTTTAAAAAAAAAAAAAAAAAAAATAAAGAGAAGATTCTATCAGTTACCCAAGAGGAGGAAGAATTTGTAAAGATGACATGCACCTGAATGAGTCAGGCCGACCTAAGAATTCTCATCAGCAGCACAGGATACAAGATTAAAGTAAGACAAAATGCAGCAATAATTTCAACCCGAAAAAGCCATACTTGAGATCGAGCGATCAGAAAAGGGCTCTGACGAAGTGACTTCGAACTGAGACCTGCCGTAGCCAGGGGAAACGGTGCTCGGAGAGCGGGGACAGCACCTGCACAAGCGAGGGCCCGGGAGGCGGGAAGTGACCGGTGCGCGGGCGCGGCCCGGGAGAAGCCGGCGGCGCGCACAGCTCCTGCGTGGGGCCCGCGGGAAGCCCCGCACGCCGTGCCCAGGGAGCTAGCAGGGCCCGCCCCGCGCGCCGGGGACAGGGGCAGGTGTCCGGCTGACGTGGTCCGCGCCGAGGCGAGCGCATGTCGCCGCCTGCGGGACAGCCCCTGTTTCCACGTGCCGGCCCCCTGGACGGAAACCCCGGGAAGGTGGAGTGCACGTCCCACCAGCTCGGGGTCCCCCGGCACGCCCGGGGGGGGGGGCCTCGACCTCAAAGGTGCCCTGTCCACACTTGCAGGAAGTGCACGCCTCCACCCGGCGTTCCCCTACGTGCCCCCCGTAAGCCCGGCCCACACGTGAGGCAGGACCACGTCCGCCTTACAGAGGCGGGGCCCGGCCGGGAGCAGTAGGCTGCACGTCTTGGCCACCCCGCCCTAGGGCCTCGGAGCCTGCCCAGAGAAGCACCGAGCTACCCAGGCCATCCGCGGACCGACACCGCGCACCCAGCTTCACGCTCCTCGTAGAGACAAAGCAGTGAGGACGCAGCCCTCGTGACCGCCGCCGGCTCTCCGCCTGCCGCCTCTCGCCGCGTCCAGCCTGACCAGCCCTGTGTGCGCCGCAAGGCTCCGAGGACGGAAAGTCCCTGAGCCGCACCAAGCGCTACCTTGTGCCCCACAAGTCGGCTTCCTAAGGGGAAAGAGGAGTACCACTCCATTAAAAACAAGACTTCCACCTCACATGGGTCTTGTCTCTCTCAGATCATCAGAAAATCTCACTGTTCTCCCCAAGATTCTGCATCACGGGCGATTGTCTCGGCCAGCACTGGGGGGGGCAGGTGCCGCGAGCTCGCCTGTGGTCCCTGTGGTGGGGGCGTCCAGAGCCCGGAGGCAGAGAGCCTCCCGAGCACCTGGGCGGCATAAAGCCCCCCAGCCCGAGGAGGGGGCGCACCGTGTCCTAGAAGACAGCACGTGGGGGTTGCCGCAGAAGCTGCATCCAGTCCCACGCACCCACACTCGGGAGACATCAGTGGCGGGATGCATCCTGGTCCCACTCTTTCCTAGTGACCTTGACCTCCTGCTTGGAGCCCAGCCTGGGTGTGCTTCTCAAGAACAAAGCTGTCTTCAAGTGCGGCTCGTCGTGGGCAGGGCCCGAAGGGTCTGTCGGCTGCTGGTCTCGGGGGACACTCAGAGCTGTGTCCCCGCTGGTGAGAACCCCAGGACCATATTGCTATAAGCTCTTCCCCCAAAACTCCCGCACACTCCGTACTGTCTGCCCAGGGAGCCCAGTGTCCTCTCCCCACATCCTTTCCTTTATCAGACATTGATTTGGGGCCGATGAGCCGTATAAAGTTCTATGTGACGAGTCATTTCTCCACCACGAGAGGCTGACATTTCAAGCGTCGATCTCATGCTTCGCCATTGACAACCTGCTCCCTCCTCCCTCAAAGAAGCAAAGAATACGTGGCCAGAATTTACTTCTGGCTTGCCTCCCTGCCAGTCACATGATGATCTATGGCACAAAGCTTTTGTCTCAATGGCATTTGGGGTCATTGGCGACCCAACCAGGAAGACACACGTCAGGTACTTGGACGTCTTTGCGGCCAGTTGAGGAAGGGCCGTGGGCGCTCCTGGCTCTCAAGCACCTGCTTCTACAGCGGAGGTCACCCTGCGGCGGGAGAGGAAGCAGGTCCCAGCGGCTAAGTCATGTCTCAGAGGAGCAAAGTCCCCAAAGGTGTGTGTTAGTCGGGGCCCCTTGTTCCTGGGCCAGAACAAGACCCCCACAGTCCTCGCCCCCACCCCCTATACACAGAACGGGAACGATGTGAGGTGACGTCACTTCACAAGGTTTCCGTGAATTCAGCTGTCACCTTAAACATATGCGATTTTTTCTTGTCGATTATACTTCAGTGAAGCTGGAGATAAACACAAGACACCCAGATTGTAAGGACTTCAGTAAGTGTGATAAGGAGTTTCTCGGGGTGTCTGGGTGGCTCAGTCAGTTAAGCATCCGACTCTTGATTTTGGCTGGGGTCATAATCTCAGGGTCAGGAGATAGAGCTCGGCGCTCAGTGTGGAGTCTGCTTGCAATTCTTTCTCTCCCTCTCCCTCTGCCCTGCCCCTGCCCCGAGCTCACTGGCTCTCTCTCAAATAAATAACCCTTTTTTTTTTTTTAAGATTTTATTTATTCATTTGACAGAGACACAGTGAGAGAGGGAACACAAGCAGGGGGAGTGGGAGAGGGAGAAGCAGGCTTCCCACCGAGCAGGGAGCCCGATGCGGGGCTCGATCCCAGGACCCTGGGATCATGACCTGAGCCGAAGGCAGACGCTTAACGACCGAGCCACCCAGGCGCCCCTTTTAACTCTTTAAAAAAAAAAAGTTACTCTACTGGAATTGTCCCTCTGGTGTGGACAGACTGTGGCCATCGAGACTACAGAGCAATGTTGCTGTTTATCAGGGTGTCTGGAATGCATGCTCTGAGGCCCCAAAACATCCTCCCATGGCTTCCGCACAACCTGGGGACATGTCTTGTTCACCTGCTAGAGGACAAGGCTTTGGGAGCAGGGTCTGCGTTGGCGTTGTTGTCCTCCAAGGAGCCCACCCCCCGTCCTGCTCACCGAGACCACCTGCCCCGTCCGCCCTCAGCTGGAACCTGCCCTCACCGGCCCCATCTGCCCTCACAAAGGCCTGGTCTCTGGAGACGCCCGGCTCTGTCTTGGGTGGCAGTCATTCTCATCAGGGGTCGATAGCCCCTAAATGTGAGTCTGCTTCCTCCAATGTCTCCATAAGGAGACCTGACAGCATCCCCATCACAGGACCATCTGGCAGAGACCAGGCTCTGGGGCCGGGTCCATGTAGACCAAGTGGGAAGGGAGGGAGAGAAGGGAATTTGGGGAGGGAGCCTCAGGTCGGCCCCTCTTCACCCAGGCCTCTTGCTCCTAGAGGAGGAGGCCCAAGCTCGCCTGCCCCATGTGCGGCATGACCCTGTCCCTGTTTCAAAGGTTTTTTTATAACATTTGAACAAGAGGTCCTCACGTTGATCTTGCACTGGGCCCTCGAATTGTGGAGCTGATCCTGCATGGGAATTACAAGGTTTTGGAATCTCTTGCCTGTGCTATGGAGAAACCAGGGACTTTTCTAAACGAAGATGACCGTCTGAGGGCCGATACTTTCCCGCGGGCTGGTGCCCACCCCCGCCACATCTGCTCTGCAGAGCAAAGCTCCCCCTGGAAGGAAATTATAGGAAAGCCAACGAGAGAAAAGCTTTGGGGTTTGTTTGTTTGTTTGTTTTTTAAAGAAGAAATTAAGAGCTCTCAGGAACCAGTGGAAGAGCCGGGGCTTCATAGCTGTGTGACCCAATTTCCGTCGCTCATCGATTATCTATGTCGCTGAATGTCCCTGAGCCTTGAATGTCCTTATCTGCAAAATGGACCAGACGAGATTATCTCATTCTGAAAGTCATCTGAGGTAGTGTGTGTGGTGCCTGGAACGAACGTTAGCGGCCTTTACGGGGTCCCTGTGGGCAGAGGTGCAGATAAGTGGCTAGCTTCAGAATTACAGAATCCCTTGGCCAAAGAGAGTGTAGACATTATGTAGTCCACCCTGAGTTTGGCAGATGGGGAAACTGAGGCACACCTTGCTCAGACCCTGAGCCGGCAGCAGCACCAGCCCTCGGGCCTCGGCCACACTCGGGAGGCCGAGGTTGGGGTTACCTTTGAGGCCTGGGACGAGAATGTGCAGGGAGCAGGCCTCTTCGGCCGTCTGCTGAGGACGTCCGGCCGGAAGCAGCCACAGGAAGGCCAGGCCGATCAGAGCCAGATCCCTCTTCATCACGAGCGCTTGCGGGACGCTGGCTCCTGCATCAAGGAAGGGGACTCAGTGACGGGAACTCAGACACCGGGGCCGGCGAGTGACAGCGTGCAGGCCAGGGCCAGGGCGCAGGGGGCTGTCAGGGGCCCCTCCCAGCCTTCGGGTCTCTCCCTCAGGGGCCCACCTTCGCCTCCCCTGCCCGGCCACGCTGGACTCCCACCCTGACGGCTGCCCCCAGATTCTCGCTTCTGCTTCTCTGTGGCTGATACGTCAGACACACAAAGGCACATGTGTGGTGCTACAGAAACCCCGACATGCTGCCCAGAACAGATGGTAGAGCCCAGGCGCTCCCAGGACGGGCCGGTCCCCCGCGGTCCCCGGGCCCAGGACCCCCCCCATAGCCCTTGAAGCTGAACTCCTGGGCTGTGAACGCATGTCTCCTGTGGCTTCCTAGCCTTCCTACACACCAGTGTGTTCTTTTTTTTTTTTTTTAATAGCATGGTTATACTATTTTATTTATTTATTTATTTGACAGAGAGGGAGAGACCGCGAGAGAGGGAACACAAACAGGGGGAGTGGGAGAGGGAGAAGCAGGCTTCCCGTGGAGCAGGGAGTCTAATGCGGGGCTCGATCCCAGGACCCCGGGATCAGGACCTGAGCCGAAAGCAGACGCTCAATGACTGAGCCACCCAGGCACCGCCCCGCACCCCCGATGGTTTTCTTTTTTTTTTTTTCTTTTTCTCTTTTTTAAAGATTT